CGTCCCGGAGGGCGTAGCTGTGGTCGGGCGGCTGCCCGGGGCGGGCTCTCCGTGGGCCCGCGTGGCTGGCCGCTGCACCTGCGCCTGCTGCCGCTTCCGGCCTCGGCGGCACGGCCTGGGGACAGAGGGAGCAAGAGAAGCCCGGCACCCCAGGTCCCCCGCGGGGCTCGGGGGGCCACCATCGAGTGAGCCTGGCGCCTGGACAGAAAGGCCACCTCGCACTGCCGTCCCGGCACAGATGGGCCAGGGCCCCCACGGGAAGCCGCGGCGGCAGCCCCCGGCCCTGCTCCTGCCACTGCAGCTGGCTCCCTGGGGCCCGCTGTCTGCACTTTGCCTGCAGCAAGGTCACCTTGTGCCGGGACCACCCCACGCCACGCCACGCCACCCTGCTGCCAAGGCCCACAGCCTGACCTGAGTCAGCGGCCCCTCTGTCCTGGGCAGCAGCTGCAGCTCCTCACGGGCAGCGTCTGTGCTCCAGGAAGGGCTTTGCTCCCTGGCCCCTGCCTCGGGGCGGACCTGGGGACAGCAGGCAGAGTCAGGCTGGCCGAGCTGGCGGACTGGACCTTCCCATGGCCGCCACCGTCCTCGCTTGTACCCCCTGCCCGGGCTGCGCCAGGCCGGCCACACGGCCTCGTCCTCCCAACTCGGACGGGGCGGCTTGAGAGGCACGGCGCTGTCTCCCGAGGCCTCCAAGGCAGGACGGGAGGGGGCCCTGGCAGGCAGCCTTGCTGACCCCAGCCAAGCCCTGCGGCAGCCCAAGAGGTGCGGGGCGCCCAGAGCAGCCTCACCTCCGGAGAGCCAGCGTCTCGCGCGCCTGCGGGGTCTGCATTCTGCACCAGCTGCAAGACAAACCGCGGGGCACTGGGGCTCATCCAGCGGGCAGCAGAGGCCACAGGAACGCGACCCTGGTGCGGAAGCACCGGGGACACGGCAGCGTCCCCCAGCCCCAGCCACCAAGCTCTACACCTGCGTGACTGGGATGAAACAACGTCCACCAACACACACACCGAGGGCCCCTGCCCAGGGCGCCCGGCCAGGCCTCCAGCAGGAAAGTCCCTGCCGTCACAGCACGCAGGGCGACATGGGTGGAGACAGCCCCAGGGCAGCTGAAGGTCGCCAGTTCAAGGTCACAGCACTAGGAAGACAGGGCAAGAAAGGGCTGTGTGGGGCCGGCAAGCAGGGACTGGCTGTGGTGGGAGGGACAGAGGGACAGACGGGACAGAGGGGACGCGGAGGGTGAGGCCGTGAAGGATGGGCAGGTGCCAGGCAGGAGATTCTCCTAGCTTTTTTTTTCTTGGTCTTTTGAAACAGGGTCTCATTGTATAGTCCAGGCTGGCCTTGAACTCACAGTGATCTGCCCGCCTCAGCCTCCCCAGTGCTGAGATTAGAGGTGCGCCACCACACCCAGCCTCTCCCTAACATTCCGAATGCTATTCCTTCTCCTGCAGTCACAGCTCCCCTCCTCTTAGCCCCTAGAAAACCAAACGCCTTGGGTGTGGCACCCGCACGGCTTCAGCGTCCAGCTCTCCTGAGCCAACCCTGCCACCTCCATGTCCGTCAGTCTGGCTGCCCGAAGCCATCTCGCAGTCCCGCTGGCTCTCAGCCTGGCAGATCTGCAGAGCATACCCCTCTGCCCACCTCCACGAACGGCTATGCCCCGCAGGGACGCCGAGGGGGCGTCACGGGCATCCCGTCAGCTCACTGCACCTGCAGCCGGCGTGAGCCTCCCAAGGCCGCCTCGCCCCTGCTGCCCCCCGACACCAGGGTAATGCTCCCCGGAGGGTGGGGCCCTGGGGGCATCCTGCACCCTCTGCTGCCTGCTACGGCACAAGCTGCACACACGCAGGGCCTCAGCGGGAGCCAAGCACACGGGGACGCTGAGCCCGGCTTCTGGCTCCAGGGCCCGAGAGAGAAATGCTGCTTTTCAACCAGAGTTGGGTACTTGGTGCAGCCTGAGCTAAGTCACCGGAGCCCCAGGCCTGCCCCCACCGCTGTCCTCCACCCCCGCCAGTCTCTGCCCACACCACGAAGACCCAGCCGGATGCGCTCAGCACCCAGAGGGGCCCGACCGGCACCTGGCACAGGAGCACTGGGTCACCACCGGGCGGCCTCCAGCCCTCGTGAGTCCTCGAGGACCACGCACTCCATGCACTGACCCCTCGGCCTCCTCAACAGCACCCTGCTGTAAAGCAAAAGCACGATTTGATTTTTTAAAATGAGGTTTCCCAGGCATGGGGGAATCTCAACGCTAGGGAGGCTGAGGCAGGAGGATCACTGAGTTTAAGGCCAGCCTGTGCTACACAGTAAGACCCCTATCTTGAAAAACACAAGAAATAAGAGGAAGTCTTGCTATGTGGCCCAGGCTGGCCTCAAACTCCCAGGCTCACGTAAATCCTCCTGCTTCAGCTCCCTTGTTTTGGAAAAAGGAAAGAGCACATACGTTACAAAGTTCTCTTAAGGCCCAGGGAGGGCCAGCAGGGCCAGCGGGCAGGCAGGGCTGAGGGCCCCTGAGGCCATCCCTGCTCAGCCCGGCCTCTGCCTGTCCTGAAGACACGGCCCCGGCCACGCTCCTACCTGCGCGGGCTCCCGGAAGGCGAAGACGGTGGGCACGGCGTTGTGCTTGAGGTTCTTGCGGTTCCCGAAGGCGCTGAAGCACTCGGGCCGGAAGTGCTCAGAGCAGATGACCGTGTGCTGCTTGGGCTCGAAGCCGGCCCGGCCGATGTTGAGCACCCATTCCCTCAGCAGCTCGGGCCGGCTGAATGGGAACCTGGACACAGGAGGGGCAGGTCTAGGCCAGCCAGGTCTTGCGCTCCAGGCTCACCCCACCACGGGACAGCAAAATAATCTCGCTTGGGGAGCAAACAGCTGATTTCTAGAAGCTTTCGTCATGGCTGTCACAGGCCTCCTTTTGTGGGAGGGAGGCAGGGTCTTGCTCTGCAGTTCAGGTGGACCTTAAACTTACTACGGAGCCCAGGCTGGCCTCAAATTCCTGGCAATCCTCCTGCCTCAGCCTCCCAAGTGCTGGGATTATAGATGTGCGCCACCACAGCTGGCTTCTTTTTTTTTTCTTTAGTTTGTTTTTTGTCTTTTTGAGACAGGGTCTTGCTATGCAGTTCAGGCTGACCTTGAGCTCACTTTGTAGCCCAGGCTGGCCTCGAACTCACAACGATCCTCCTGCCTCAGCCTCCTGAGTGCTGGGATTACAGGCGTGCACCACCACACCCAGCTTTATTTTTTTTTTTAAATGGCATCCTTGGTAGGAATCCCAGTGAGCTGTGTTTCCCGAGCAACGTGGCCCCCACTTCAGCAGGAGCCAGAGGCCAGGCCCCATTCTTGAGCTAGGGACCCAGGAGTAAATAGGACAAACTCCCTGCACTCTAGAAAGCAGCGGTGGAGGGCAGTGCAAGCCACTGCAGACTCAGGCAGTGCCCGCCGAGGACACAGGAGAGAGCCCTGGTCAGCCAGGGACAGCCTCCCTAGAGATGGGTGCAGCTGGGGCCTGGAGCCCTCCGGGCAGTGCTCTCGAGGGGAGCCACACTCTCAGCCCTTTCTTAGTGTTTTGCTTTGAGGCAGGGACTCACCAGGCTGCCTCCAACTTGCACTCCTCCCGCCTCAGCCTCCTAAGGAGCTGAGAGGACAGACAGGCACCACTGTGCTGAGCTAAGAGGTGATATCTGAGCAGACACTGGAGGGAATGGGAGAGGGGCCGCAGAGCTGAGGCGCCGGGGGTTGGCAGTGTCTATCTGACTGGGCAGCGTGAGCAAGCTCGGGATCACCTGGCTCAGGGCCTTGGGAGTGTTCCGAAAGCCCGGCAGCGAGGTTCGCCTGTGGGCCCTGCAGCCACCACACCCAACAGGAAGCAGTTTCCTGCTGGCATGGTGGCGTGAATCTGTTAGCCCAGCACCCTGGGAGGCTGAGGCGGCAGGATGGCAAGTTCAAGCCCCACCTGCAGCTTACAGAGACCTTGTCTCAAAATTTTAAAATTTCAAAAGGGCTAGGGATAAAGCTCGGTATGAAGGCCGTGGGTTCAATCCCGAGGCCCAGGGGTAATAAAATCGAGAGTGGGAAACAGGGGGCATCTGGCAAAAGGAGCCTGAAAAGGAACATCTGTGACAAAGAGGACCACGATGTGTCGACTCAGAGCAGGACAAGAGAGCAGCGGGCTCAAACGATGGTGGTGCACAGCTGCAATCCCGGCGCTGTGGGAGGCTGAAGCAGGAGGATCCCAAGTTCAAGTCCTGCCTGGACAGCCAGACCCTGTCTCAAAATTTTAAAAGTTCAGTGAAAAGGGGCCGGGAGGTAGCTCAGTGGCAGAGCACCTGTGGGTTTGATCTCCAGCACCACAAAAGAAAACCTGACAGGGTCAGACCGCTGGACTTGGTGTCATAAGGGTCAGTGGGGACGGAAGTCTTCAACAGAGAATGGAGGGGAGGCCCTCGTACCCCGGCGCATGCTCAGCAGAAGCAGAGAGATAGATGCACGCTCGGGGAGCGGTTCTTACAAACTGCCTCGCCACTGCCACCTGTAGAGAGCCAAACTCTCGCACGTGCATTCATGGAAGACTATGCGGCCGTGAAAAGGAATGCCCCCTGCCACACTGGCAAGGAGGCCCCTCACAAACATCACGGGGAGCCAGGGAGAGAAGGCGCGGCCAGACTCCGGCTCTCACGGGGGCGGGCTGCAGCCCTGCGGGCAGCGGAGGAGGGCGGACGAGGGGGTGAAAGCCGGGGCCTCCCGGTGCCGCGGGCTGCGGCACGCGCTTTTCTACCTGGATGTCTGACTCCAGAAAAACCATCTGAAAGGGCGCAGGGGAGGACGAAGGCGCCGGCCGGCCGCCCGCCCGCGGGCGCTGCGCCCTGCAGGGAGCCGCA